AAATGGCCAGAAGTAAAGACCTTAGCGACTTAGACAAGGGCAAAATTGATATGGCCAGATGACTGGGTCAGAGCACTTCTTAAACGGCAAGGCTTGTGGCGTATCTCCAGTCAGCAATGGTGAATACCTCCCAACAGTGGTCAGAGGATGGACAAACCGGGCCCTGGAGCATTTGAAAAAGGTCTGAAGAATCCCGTTTTCGTTCACATCAGGTGGCAACCCAGTACGTTTGCAGTGTTTACCTGGGGAGGTGATGTCACCAGGATGCACTTCGGGAAGACGACAAACTGCTAGAGAGAGTAGGATTATCTGGGCAATGTCCTGCTGGGAAACCTTGGGTCCAGGAAATTATGTGAACGACCATTTGACACGTGCCGTCTACGTAGACATTGTTGCCAACCGGGTAGACCCCTTCATGACGCCTTCAATTTCTTGCCAAAAGTCCAAGTCTTTGTGCTGTTTTGGCAGCACGCAGAGGGCCAACGGCATATTAGCATAATGTTTTGGCCCGTCAGGGTGCATACAAAGGCGGTTGACAGTTTTCTGCGTTGCAACCCTTTCTTTTGGCGCTCTCAACCCAAGGCTGTAAGGCGGAAGCAAAGACTGATAGCTAATGGGAGGCTAGTTTTGCCAAGTGTAAGCTGGGCAATACTGGGCAATGTTCGCGCATTCACCATGTTGCTATTCCCTGTAGCGCACTCATTTTGACCAGGGCCCATGGGTATAGGCTGTCGTTTGGGACGCCACACCTGGGACGCCACACCGGACAGATATACCATGATCCTCAGCTTTAGAGACCAATCTGGCGTTCCCGGGGGAATGACTACAAAATGAGTTGTGAAATCTATGAATTATGTACTAACAGTATTCTAAGTGCATCACATTGCCTACTCACATTTGCCAATACCTTTATCAAACAAATTACCCGAGACAGAAGATATTGTGGCTTTTTCAGAGATTTAAAATGGTTTACAGAACAATGCCGTTGAACTGCACCCGCCAAAACACGTCCAGCTGCAAAAACACACCTAATGGATACCAAAAAGGTATTCAGAAGTTTTGAGTAACCATTCTCGATTAAGCACAGCTGTCCAGCCAGGACACTGTTGAGTTAGTCACAATCGAATTGGGGCAAAGTGCACCGGACGGTTACTTCAGAACATGCGTGAACTTAGCTCAGAAAGAGCCTCTTGATGCACAGTCAAATAAATATGACACTGCGCAGGAAGAAATCAACTGATATTCCGTGCTATATCCACAGAGCATAAAAAATCCTCTTACTCCTCCATTCGACATTGACTCTGTTAAATCCGCCTTTCTGCACATTTCGAACTCCTTAGCGGAGCACCCAAGGTGGAAGAGATTCACCTGCTTCGTCGCCCTTCCTAAGTCCACAACAAGAGGGTCATTTGTTAGCGCTCCATTATGTCACGTCGGCAAATGTATCCCATTTGTTATGCGCGCAGGGGTGACGACTGTGGAAGTGCTCGTGCTAATTTAATGCCTATTGAGACAGAAAATTGGATATACTTCTGGGGCCTGCGATGTGTGTCGCGTGTGTCGCAGAGCCGACGATTTCTCCCAGAGATTAATTAAAAATAAATGTTCAAAAGGGGGTAGGTCGTGGCTGAATGTTGCTACTCCTGTCCATATTTCCTTATAATTGGAAACGGCGCGTCTCCTGAGGAGGAAGGCCTGCGCCGATTTCTATCATACGCCACAAACGGCACTCTACGTTCTTCAACACTTTTGATCGAAAGTACCCGCCCGTTATAATGGTTAGGATGACATTTTGGCTGCGCGTCGAGCCAGAGGAAGCAACAGTGTTCAGTGGGAAAGCAGAGGCGTTGAAGGTATTCACCATAACACCCGTGATCTTTTGAACCCTAAACAAAGAGATAACGCTAATCAAAGAGTTTGTTTGTGTGAGTAATATGACGCATATAACGATTATGAAATGTGTACAAAATAATTGTGTTTAGATTTCCCAGTTACCACAGTTGGATCAATAATCATGAAGTGGAACCTGCATCACACCATCCATACATTGCCAAGTAAAGACTATCCCACAGAGAGGCCAACGATCCAAACCGGATTTGTATTTGAGGGTGGCAGGAATGAATAAGTTACTCAAACATACTATCTAAAGGCATATGAGTGACAGAGCTGTAATGTGAGAAAAGGTTTTGTGGTCAGATGAGCCCAGGAACTAAAAGCACTATGTGAGAGCCAAAACGACCGCTACCGACTAAACACACGCCATCCGTGCAGGAAAGGAAGGTGGTGGCAGCATCATACTGTGGGGCTGCTTCTCATCGGCAGTGACTGTGACTCCTGTTGAAATTAAATAAAGAATGGATGAAAGGAAATACTAAAAGAGAACAGTTTGCTAAAAACCTTTAGCTTTGGAGCACATTCACGTTACAACATGGCCAATATCCCAAACACAAGGCAAAGAAAAATCATCGGCCCGAGTTTTGTCTTGCCCTAACCAAACGTGGCCACAACTGGCCACAGACGTTCAGGATCCTGGAAAAAAAATGTCAGAATAAGAAGATGATGTGCCAGACATGCACGATGGAGACCTGCAACATTTCAGAGGCAGCTTGGAGGGTCAGCTCCACCCATTCACACTTGCCATATGTCAAAACCCATCAGAGAGGCTAGAAAAGAGGTGGCCAGGGGTAACTAACAGCTTGTTTTGTGTGCGTTCCACAGACCATGAAACTGAATAAGTCACAGATGAAAACCAAACTGTATTGAGCTAGTAGCTAGTCTGTAGCTAGTCTGTAACTTTGGGCCTGACAAAGGATTTTCCCCCTGGCTGTATTCCTGATACAGCACCGATTCATGTGCTTTATTGCTTAATTACTACACGCCAGATAATGTCTCAAAATATACGTGTATAATGTGTTTAAATACTAAATGGCAAAGTTATGGTGTCATCTCCTTTAAATTGGTGGCATCTCAGTTACCTCTTGTTGGGTTGGTTTAACAGTGTACAATAATTGTCACTGCAAGGATTTGGATTAAATCAACGCTGCCTCTGTTCCCAGTGTCGTATACAGTTCCTTTGAATAGTAAAAAAAATAAAACGCTAGTATTTCCAAGCGTCTGTGAGGCTAGGTGCTCCGTTTCGACAGCTCATATAATTGGACGCTGCGCTATGAAGACCGTGATACGTCCACCTAACACAAGCAAAACAGGGTAACGACAATATCAGTCATTACACGTCTGCAAAGGACGTACCGCTGCTGGTTCGGTGACAGGCATTTCTTCCTGATTCAGCTCATGCTAAAGCTCAAACCGGGGACTTTTCACAGCACTCGTGACTGATGGCCCTCCATAGGCATTTCACCAGCGAGAGCAAAGTGCAAGGCTAGCAATTCAGTTGAGGCCGAGGAGTTATCATAACGTATTATTCACAGTCACGATACTTACGGAGGGCATCCTGACGTGAATCCCCAGCGATACAACGGCACTTGTGCTCCTTCCTAATTATCTCTAACAAGGCAATACGGCAGAGATGAGGGGAAAAACCCACGGGGACACATTCAACACTTCAGACTTGGTGTTGGAGAGACCTAAATCGCTCGCTGGCTGCGGCGACCGCGAGGGACAATCGTACACCCCCCGGGGGCCCTGCGCACTTTGTTTAATTGTCATGACTCGTCGCGGCGGGGGGGCGATCGGCGGCGGCAGAAGAGCACAGAGGTGTCCCGACGGAGCGCTCGACAGAAGTGTTTACGCAAGCCTGGGGATTTAATTTAGTTATTCAAGTAGTGCATCGGAAGCCGGTTGGAGATTTTTTGGGAGGCCACAAATGCAATTTGCTGGGATCGACCTAGGAATGCTGATAATAAAAAAAAACGGAAAAACAAACACAGGAACAGGTTTCCATTTACAATTGACTGAACCTGCAAAACAATTGAACAGCTTCATGTACTTCCAGTAATTCTCTAATGTGCCATATAATACTATAAACCATCATACCATCTCTCACTGGACGACTCGCCACATAGAATACAGAAAATTGTACAATCCAGATGGTTGATTCAATGGTTTCCGGAGGACCGAGGTAGGAATCGCTTTTCCTCGATAGCTAAACCATGTACAATTACCAGATCGGGCGAAATACATCACAAAGTTGCCAACGGATGACAGTGTTTCGTAAATAGTAAAAAAAATATAAAAAAAACGTTTCTCTAATCATTCACAACGGGAACGAAACAAAAGAAACACATAATATCACCTTTCCAACTGGTGACAATCTCCCCGAAGAACACCACGATAGAGGGAGTTAGACGCTGCTTGTGTCTGCGACCAACCTGATGTACTCCAACGTTGTGTTGTAAACGGTTCTCGTTACATATAAGAAAACAGACCTATCTGCTAATATTTCATGAATACAGAGTAGAAAACCTATTCATTCAACTGTCTCTTCCAATCAGACTTAAACTCTCGTATGACTAATAAAAAAGGACAGATCAACGGCATCTGATACTGTTTCATTTCACGGTCCAGGGAAAGTGTATTTTGGTTATATTGTCTGAGTGACTTCTGTGTGATACTCTGAGTTTGTCTTTACGAAATTGACAGTTAATTCATTCATTTTTCATTCAGTAAAATTTACAAACAAAGAAAGAACAAACCGTTATACTCTGCGATCATTTTGTTTGGCCCTCAAAATATCCGTTTTTAAGTAACAACTTCCATTTTATAAGACAGCTAATATTGAAATGTCATATAACACAAAAGCTAGTATAAATTACATCATGCCTTTTACAAACAACTTCAATAGTCTGCATTTGAATGCATATCAAGTGCTTCCCAATGCCACCGGTTCAAATCCTGTGTTCCCTACATTATTTTTGACTTCTGTAGAACATTATTCAGTACTTGGTTACACACATTCAATCGGTTTCCACAGCCATTTCATTTTTTTTATTTTACCTTTATTTAACCAGGTAAAAATACTTCTCATTTTCTACAGCGACCTGGGCAGAAGCTGGGGATTGAACCCAGGACATCATACTTACAATGCGTGCACTCTACCACAGCTACCAACTCCTCCAATAGGAACCCAGGACATCATGCATACAAAACGTGCACTCTACCACTGAGCTACCAACTCCTCCCATTGCTGACATAACAAATGAGGCATGCTGTAGGTTATACAATGCCTAATTTCTTTACTGAGGTAACGAGTGAAACGTCAGAGCACTGTGGGTTGACATGCTGACGGAGGAGGAGACTACCTTGATACTGGAGTGACTTTGAGTTAGTACGAGTGGCGTGTTATCGTCTTTACAAAAACAGTCATCCTTGCACCCCTCCAATCTTCCTTTTTGATCACAAACAATATCAAAACAATTCCCCTATCTGTTTTCTTTATTCAGGCCACTTACATAACTTAGCCACCCCCCAATTAATGTCATATTGTGTCTCCCTCACACTCGCTCTCTATCTTTCTCTCTCTTTCTCCCTCTCTCGAAAACGACTATAATTGGTCTATTATGTGCTTTGTGCATTTGTCTCGGAAGCCTCTGTGCATTTTGAGACGTAAGCTTAGTGGCATGACACTGGCAGTCTATAAAGCAGGCTAGAACACATATTATTCTTTGTTGGAATCCGCCCGAAGGAGAATGTTCAGTTGCATTTTATTGGAGCGAGTAGGAGAGAGATTTTTATCCACACTGAGTAAACATTTTGTGCCATTTAAATCTGTCAAAGCTGGTTTTCTTCTAAAGATCGCCATTCATGCAGTATCTTAACCCTTAAAAGAGCAATTTAAAGTTTGGCTTACTATAGAAATTACTTTTTGAAGATGTCCAAATTTGATCATGAAAGCTAACTACACAACAAGAGGTTAGATCTTTCACATGGTAACCAAAGCAGTTCGAAGGACAAGAAAATCATGGTGCTGCCATGCTGTTTGTGTTCTAGCTACTATGGCACGAGACTCATTTGTTTTGAACTTTGTATAACCATCTAAGCAAACCTGTATTTAGAGGAGCTCTGGCAGTCAAAGCTAGGAAACATTACCATTACACCTTCTCACTGCAGTTGTTGCGTTGCTCACAACAGAGTTAGAAGGTACAGAAGAATTTTACAGGCGATAAAAGTACAGAACAGCATCTGCGTTGCCAAGCAGAACGTGTAAGCTTGGGAAACGAAATGCAAGGTAGGTATAAAACAGCATCTGCGTCGCCAGGTAGCTTGGGAAATGCATGTAGATGTCTCCCATACGGGGACGGAGTCGTCTTACTTTAAAGGGACATAAACGGCTTTGGGAACGGCTTTTTAAGACACAGTAACAATGAGTCATTATCTTGATTAATGCATAACGGTAGCTCGTCATTGATCCTGATGCCCAATAAGACAACAGGTCTGCAACTGATGGAGAACCCATGGTTCAAACCAGGGCAGAAGATGACGCGTTAACGAGGGAACTCATCGAATGCTTTTCTAATAGTTCACCTGACATTGTTTGGAAAAGAGATCCAGAGTGGTTCTGGGTCAATTTATTGGATTTTCAGCTCAATTTACAAAACAATTATGTTCACATTTCAAACATGTTGATTATTGCATGTGCCTTCATTCAAATGCGTTATTGACTCTTAGACTCTTTCAAAAACAACAGCCCTTGGGGTCAATTGAGTCCTACAGATGGAAATATCCAATTTTACCTCTAGTAATTAGATAGAAACAATTTTTTATATAGACACCGATGAGCCAAAACCAGTTGCGGTGCCTTTTAAAATATTAAAATATTAAAATATTTCCCTAGCAACATTGGCAGGAAAACAATCTCACACATGTTACGTTTTGAGGGTTTAATGCGCCCTCAACGTTTTAGAAAATGTCTAGTTCTAGAGTGAGACGTGTCTGGGAAAACAATTTTGAGGTAATAAACTGCAGTTGAGAGAAGTTGACTATGTTAAAACAATAATTTTAAAACAGCTGGGAATCTTAGACACCCCAGGGCATTCCTGTAAGACGTCACATCTTTCAATCAGAAAATTATGTAACCATTTATTTTTCTCGCAGATGTCTTTATTGTCTGTTTGCTTTGGCACCTGAATTATCTGCTCCTGTCAATAAAGCATCTATCTCATCTTCGACTTGACCTTTCTTCATAATTTACCTCAGTTTTACCATTCAGTATACGGTCAGGATGGCGTGTGCTAGAGTTAACTTGGAAGCTAGCGTTTGGTTTATTGCTTCAACGGTTTACACCCTGCGTAGGGGAATACAATGCCTGTGTTTTGTACATCTTTCCTGAGGACTGTTGTGTGTGTGTGTGTGTGTACACGACGTTGCCTTCGAGTAGGGCGCCTTTGGCCGCCACGTTCGTTGCTCTGCCCCCTGCAGCTCAGCGGCGTGATTGGATTTCACCACATCACGTCTTTAACTGAACGACCCACTGAAGGGGTTACGTCTATATAACTTCAGATTATGTCTATAAGCCCGGTTCCCCCGATGAGGCAACAAGGGACTGAGCGACAAGGCCCCGAAGCTGGCAAGTCGCGAAAACGAATGGACCTGAAACGACGTATTTAGAACCGTTCAGTGATTGTATCAACCAAGTTGAAAACAGGGTATCCAGGTTGACTCGAGGCCTTATAGGCCTGGATAGGTGGGAATTACTTACACGTTCAGGTTGTGTGTGTGTGCTGTTTTGGAGAAGAAGCGTAACACGGAGGACCAGTGGTCCTCTATCTCAGGACCAGTTGGTAATAAACCCTTTCAGGCAACCACCTTCTATGTACCGAATGTAGGCTGACTGTGTGAGCACTCTTTAAGTTTTGCCTACGTGCTACCTATTCTTCCAGAACTTTCCCCGGTGTGTCATTGAGATTCCAATCCCATTGCGGGGTGTTTTGTTGCCCATGAGATGAAACGATGTATGGTCTTGGATTTTCCAACTGTCTCCTAACCTAAGTCGGATTGATAATATTGGCAGATGCTCGATTACGTTTTGGGCCTGTCTGTGTTAATAGATGAGATTGGAACAAACAAAAAAGCACTACATGCAAATGACATGCAAATGGAATGCAAATGGGATGTACATGTTTGGGCCAAATGTTCAATTGCTATTTCATTGCTTAAAAGCAGACCTGTGAATCTAGAATACTGCTGCTTTTCTCATCCCTCCAGTTCTACCATAATAGATATCACGACGCAGTAACATCTATGTTCATGTACTCTAGTACGTCCACACTTTCTCCCCAATCCTGCCCACTAGTGGTCTGGATGTGTAACACAGCTGAGAGCCACACACAGAACTCAACGTCCTGCAAGACACCTGCTAGTTATCTTTCCACCAACACAATACCCAACATATCAGTGTCATCCCAAACATCTCCGTGCATATCTACTGCACACGGTACCACACCATACCACACAATACCACACCATACCACACAATACCACACCATAACACACAATACCACACAATACCACACCGTAACACACAATACCACACCATAACACACAATACCACACAATACCACACCGTACCACACAATACCATGCCACACCATATCACACAATACCACACCATACCATATCACACCATACCACACAACACCATACCGTACTACACCGTACCACACAATACCACACCATAACACACAATACCACACCATACCTATCACACCATACCGTACTACACCATACCACACCATAACACACAATACCACACCATACCTATCACACCATACCACACAACACCATACCGTACTACACCATGCCACACCACACCGTATTACACCGTACCGTACAATACCACACCATACCACACCACTCCGTACTACACCATACCACACCATACCACACCATACAAATAGATAGCATACGGAAGCTCTCGGCGTGGATGTGACTGATGTTGCGATTGACAGAGTGAAGTGACAGAGAAGAACAAGCTCCGGAGTAACGAGCACAGTGGTTGCCATTGTTACCAGCATGATGCACAGCTGATGTGGCTTGTCATGAGGAATAGACAGCTTCTAGCAAATAATCAGGACATAACCTAACTCGGCCGTCATGTCACGTCTGTTCCACTAATCAAACCAATCTGTCTCGCTCTCTCTCTCTCTCTCTGTCACACTCACACGTTCTGTCTCTCTCTCTCTGTCACACTCACACGTTCTGTCTCACTCTCTCTCTCTCACACTCACACGTTCTGTCTCACTCTCTCTCTCTCAATCTCTCTCTCTATGTCACCCTCACACTTTCTGGCTCTCGCTCTTCATCTCTCTCCACCTGATTTCTCACAAATTGCCGTTTTCCTCCTATTTCTAAGTGTTACCCTGGTGTAACATCAAGTATATGCTTATATACAGTATGTACTTATATCCAAGCCAGTCATATTGGTGCTGAATTATACCTGAAAGCATTGTCATTTAAATACATGGATGTATATGTTTACTCAAATGTTTTAAGGCAGCCAATTTTCACCGAAACTTCAAAGAACTGATCGTGTCGGAGCTGAGATAATGTCTACAGTGTATATTGTTATTCCTTAAACTAAAGACTGTCTTATGCTGAAGTCAGTTAAGACTGATCTTATTTCTGTTTAGAAAAACAAAGCATGATTCACGGATTAGGGCTTGAATGAATAGGGAAATTGCTGAGCCCCGGCAGATTTGCCTGTCTGATTAGCTTTTGGGAGCGAGGTACAGTTGCTACCGAAACCAGAAACCAGGTGAATTGGAGTCAAAACAGTACATTTTCTAGCTTTTCTAGTTCACAGAACAGTCAATAATTCAAGGTTGAAACCTCGTGAAACAGGCGGATCAGCCGTGTGACAGACAGCAGACTCGTTGTGTCATGGTTTTGCGAATGGACCAAACGTCCAGTGGGCTCGCCCCGGTCGGTCGCAGAAATCACATTGTCCAGGACGTTATCCCAGCTTCCTGTCGACGGAATAAAAAGCGTGGTGTCGCTCTGTTTTCAGTTTAAAACGTTCTCTGTTTACAGGCCATGACTCTAATCCAGTGCGTTTGTGATGATCTTCCATTCGCTGTACCGTGGCTGCGTTGCTTTTCTCATCAAAACGCTGTTTGACAGTCGAGCTGACTTGGAAAATCATCCACGGCTTTATGGATGATTTCACGTGGAATTGAAGCC